AGCCCCTAATAAAATGTTTTTAAAAAAACAGTTAACAGGATAAATCATACACAGGACATGGCACAGCTAAGTGAGGCTATGATGTTCCCCTGCAGGCTACTCCACTCACTGTGCTATCTTTGCTGATATGACCGCTCCTTGCAAACATCCCCAAATGCCAACTTTTGACAGAAATTCCTCACTGTAGTCTTTGAAACCTGGAGGTGAAAAGCTGTCAGCGGGTCTAGAGGGGGACGTGCCAAATTCTCTCCAGGTGTGCAGCACGTTGGAGCTTCTGAACATGTCATCGAGAGCCTGGCACCAACACTTGAAGGCAGCCCTGAAACAGAAACCGGGTATCCAAAAGGTATGCTTTAGGACCATCCTGCTCAATCTATCATGCTGGAGGGTGTGGGAAACTGAGGACCTGGAAGGAAGTGTCCGTGGCCTGCTCCCTGCATTCATGGCCGTGAGAAGCATGCCGCAGTCTGAGATAAGGAAAGCACCACTCACATCTACCCCCATACTTGCTAATATAAAGATGTCTCCTGCAGAGCTGCAGACACTTGGCTCTGAACTTAAGCAGTTAAAGGATGCTTATCTCTAAGAGCATTAGCTCCCTTATTCTTAAGGAGTGATTTATACCTCTTGTCTTATGCACGCTTGGTCCTCCCTTTGAAGTATTCCCCTTGAGGGCTTAGAATATTTAAGATTCATACATTACCCTCTGGTTGATATGTATGTGTAACAAGAGGTTTGCCTGCCTCAAGAACTATAAAAACCTATTGCTGAGTAAACTCTGGGCTCCTCTCCCCCTTCTCTCTTCTTCGGAGAATGGAGTCCAGTCCCCTGCACTCCACTGTCTTCTTTAATTGTGCACATTAACTTCACAGCACCAGCACCGTTCAGCTGTGGGGCTGGACCCCACAAGAGGGGAATCAGCTACACTCAAGAAACATCTTACATATTAGAGCAGTGGTTCTCAACCTTCCTAATGCTGCGATCCTTTAATACAGTTCCCCATGTTGTGGTGAACCCCCAACCATAAAACTATTTTCGTTGCTACTTCATAACTGCAATTTTGCTACTGTTATGAATCAGGCGAACCCTGTGAAAGGGCCATTTCACCCCCAAAGGGGCTGTGACCCATAGGTTGAGAACCGCTGTATTAGAGGATAACCTGTAGCATGAATTTCTCATAAAATGACCATTGTTCTCAGGTAGCATCTGATGACTAAAATGTATGGAGGATGATAACATGTCTTCATAATAATTAAAAAAACTTCGGAAAAAAACCAAAGCAAAACAAAAACAAAAAACCTACCTTTTCTTTTCTGCAAAGATGAAAAGACTCCCAAGTTCATGCAGTGCTTGGACTTTCAGACTTATTTGATTGCTAACTTGGAGAACATCTGTATTTGGAATCAAGTGAAAGGATAGATGTCAACTCCTGAAACACTTTTTTTCTTGTGTTATCTAGAGTATTTGAAACTGCACTATTCTGTAATAAAAACCGAAGCTAACAGAAAACTTCTGGATGGGTTACATTTCAATCAGCGACACCACGATGCACGGAGAAATGCTCAGTCATCAAGGGCGTCGTTGTATATAAGCAACACCACTGGAAGCAAAGGGCAAGAATCCACACTGTGCATTACACTGGGCAAATCCGCTGTGAAAGCTCTAGGTATTAAAAAGCAAAAATGTCACTGAGGATGACAGTGAACCCTGACCCCTAAACCATGCTATTTTCAATGGCCTATGAGTGAAAGTTAGACAATGACTAAGGAAAATCAAAAAAATGACACATTTGAATTATGGTGCTGTTATGAGTACTGAATTAGATGCCAGAAGAACAAACACATCCGTTTTGGAAGAACAGCCAGGGTGCTCCTAAGAATGACAGACTTGTCTTATGTTCTTAGACAGAAGTTATCGGTAACGTGCCTAACTAAGTAGAGGGTCGCGGAAAAAGAAGAGGGTCTTCCGTGAAATAAATTGACATGGTGGCTGCAACAACTGGCTCATATAGGAGGGGTTAAAAAGCACCTTCTGTCGCCACACTGTTTTGTCATTGCCTACAAATATATGACTAAAATCGATTTTCAGGTTTTTAAAAATAATATTTCAGGCCCAAAATGCAATTCAATGTTAATATAAAAGGTTATCTTGTACATGAACACATGATGAAAATGTTCTCAAATTGATTGTGGTGACGGCGTTAGATAGCGAGATTTAGGGACAGGAATTTGTCCCTCTCATGCCTGCAAAGACCCCCATAGAGGAGGTTGGAAAGAAATCAGACACACCAAGTGGACATCCATAGGAAGATCCAAACTGAGCATGCCCAGACTAGGAAACCCAGAGGCCCAGGTAAAATACTTGGGGCACACCCACCTCAGGTACCAGCAAATGACATCACACCGGTGGGCCTAACTCAGCCAATGAGGTCAACCGCTATATTCAACCACGTCTCCCCCAGTCACAAGGTGGGATAGAATAAAGGCACGGAGCACAGCCCTGTATGTGCTCTTGGCCTGCCGCCAGGCTCTTTTGTTCCGCCCTTGTTCAGGGGCATGATGTAAAGAGGGCCTCTAGCGTGCGGGGTGCCCATGCACCTGCATGCCCCCTCAAAGCCCACCCTGCCCGGGCCTATTTGGGACCCACATGCACTTGGGGTCTTGGTTCCTGGTCTCCAGGGATTCCCCAGTTCCACCCCTGTGAGTGTTCCTTTCCACGTGGTTTTTCGTGCCCAGTTGTGAACCCCAGTATGGCTTCTGTGGGGCTTGGTACACTTTTTGGCACACTTTCCAGAAATAGCCTGTGCCCTTTGGAGACTGTGTAACCTGGAACTTTTCCTGTCCTTTGTAAAAGCTCCCCTGGGCTACAAAACATGCTTGAGCGTGAATTCTTTCAGCGTGCGAAGCGAAGAACTGAGGACTTGTGCACTCCAGAAACCTAACAGTGGTATCTCATGACTACCCCCAACCAACTGAATCATTCACTTTAAATGGTATGTGAATTACAACTAAAATATATATATATTTTAAAAGAAGGAAGATTAACACCTTATTAATAAACCTTACCAATAGTTTTGTAATAAGAAGAAATGACAAGTCCTAGTTGTGAAGCCGGAAGTTTGCTTTTTTCCACAGAACTGAAAACTCTGAAGTGTTCCTGGAACAGGTCAGGGGGCGTTGGCAAGTGCATCTCCTCCGTTCCCAGACAAAATTCCACTTTCCCAGCGGTAAATTTTGTATTGTTTATTCCCCCTCTGTCCTCTAAATTCATTTACAAAAAGAACAAGTATTACATGGAGAAGGACGGGCAGTTGGAGGAGAGGGGGAAAGGTAGAGTAAATGGAAAAGGCAAAGCAAAGAAGGTTTTATATATTTAAAAACATGACAATGAATTGCTGTTGAGTCAATCCGGCTCCTAGTGACCCGTTAGGACAGAGTAGAACGGCGTCTGTGGGTTTTCCAGGGAGAGCTGGGGGGTTGGAATCGCAGTTAGCAGTGCAGTGCATAAAACCCTTTGCCACCCCGGGTCCTGATGGTTCTCCATGTAGTGGAGACCTATGTGCAGTTGGAAGGACAGTATTCCCTTAAACTTAGAATCAAATATAATTTCTGAGGAGCCACGATGTAGCTCATTCTGTTCCGTCAGAGCACTAGAGAAGGGCAGTCTGCCAGAAAGGAAAGGCTAAGATAGGGGTTTGCTTCTCTTGGGGGTCAGTGAAAGTTACACAGTTTGGTTTCGCCTTTTTTCCATAACGGCTTCCAACATGCTACGAGGTTAGCTCGCCTCTGGGGTAGAGACCTTTGGGGGCAAGTAGGCAGATCTGGACTGAAAAAGAGCGAAAAAAGGAAACGGAACGAATTCTTCTCTTTTAAGATCAGAAAACAAAGAGACAAAACATTCTTGGGGAAATCGTCGAAAGCAGCTGAGAGAAAAGTTAATATGGATTTTTGAAGCGCACAGCCTGAGGACAGGGGACCAGTTGCAGGGAAAATACCTGAGTGCCAGGTGAGATGGTGGAATTCATTCTGAAGAATTGTATTTACTTTTAAGTACTGCTCTAAATAAGTGTTATGTCTAAAGTATAATTTCATCAAAAGTGCCTAATGTAAAGTTAGCTGTTCCACTAAAAGATTATTAGCACAAATCTCTTAGATTACAGACCCAGAACTTCATGATCCCACAAAGAATGTTCACTAAACAAACAACTGCTCTGCCTCTATCAATTGAAAGTACCCTTACATGGATATGGCATTACATATAAAAACATTTTATGTAAAATATGTATTTTTATCCCAATATTTCGGAATACATTTCTTCTTTGCCTAACAGAAATAAAGCATGGGGTTTTCCTCTGTAAAATATGTACTTGTTAAAAACAACATAACAAGGAGGTATAGTATTAAATAAAAACAAGTTACATTTGAAAATTAAATGTATTCAGAATCATTAATACTTTACAATGGTTAATGGTAATTAAGAATTCTTACTTTCAAATAGCTTCCACACTTTTAATTTTTTTTAAAATTAGGCCAAAAATTTTAAAGATGAGCTCAGGGGAAACTAGTTAAGGTCTCTGTTAGTAAATGTTAAAATCTATTTTTGATAAGTTTAAAATATAATTCTATTAATACTTCTTATTCTAATTGGAAAAGTTTGTGGTAGATATATGAGGGGACTTGGAAAGCTCATGGGAAAGTGGACTGACAAGCTAATGACGTTTTGACATTGCTTTTGTGCAGCCTCTTTCATAAGTACAACAGCAGTAATGACTAATAGGAGCTTCGGTGGCTGTTTATATACAATCAGACACCTCATGGGATTTGGTTCTTTGGTTTGGGGTCATGGTTTCACTTAGGACATACCAATTAGTTGACTTAATAAACTGCTTATGTTCTATCTTGAGTACTGCCTGGGGTTTTAAAAGCTTACAAGCAGCCATTGCAGGCCATCTGGCTGGAGTAACAGCAGAAGAAGGGAAGTCAACGGCGGAAGTAAGGGAAGTCAACAACAGGAAGAGGAAAGGAAACAGTGTACCTAGGAGCCTCCATGACAACTGCCTCCTTTGACATGACACCAGAAGAATGAGATGGTGTCTGGCTACCATCACTGAATACTTTCATTTAAAAAATTCTAGAGAGAAAAAAGTCATGAGTTGAGTCAAGATAGGATCTGTTTAGAATCACCTGCCTGGCATTCCTGTTGTTAGACCAGAAAATTAAAAGGTAGGGGAAGAAAGCCCCAGGAAAAAGCAACCGACCAATGATTCCAGAGGGACTTGGTTGGGGGGGGGGGAGCGGTGAGCAAACAACGCCATAGACCGGGGAACAACTGGGGAATTAAAATCAACAAGGAGGACGTAGAGTTCCTGGGCTGTTGGAGTGATGGCAATCTAGCTGAGAGGAATTACTAAGAGGTAGAAGAAGAGAGAGGGTAATGGTGGGACAGAGGAAAGATCTACGAAGCAAAGCTATGGATAGAGGTATAAACATAGGTGTGTACATGTGTAAATATATTTAAAATAGAGCTATTGCCCTGTTTACATATATTTATATGGCAATACATAGAGGTAGTGGATGGACTTTGGGCCTCTGCTCAAGCCCTTCCCTCAACACAAGAACACTATATTCTAACTGTAATGCTCACCCTCCTGGCATGATTGCTAAAGACAAAATGGGTGCACAAGAAAATGTGGTGAAGAAAGTTGGTGGTGCTCAGCTATCAAAAGATACAGCATCTGGGGTCTTAAAGGCTTGGAGTTATACAAGCGGCCATCTACCAGAAAAGCAACAAACCCACATGGAACAAGCACACCAGCCTGTGTGATAATGAGGTCTCAATGGGATCAGGTAACAAGCATCAGAAGACACAAAACTAACAAACAAAATAGTATATCACTAACAAACCAAAAAAAAGCATAGCACAGAGAATGAGGGAGGTCAGAGCAGAGACACAAAACCCATCTGTAGACAATGGAACATCCACTCACAGAAGGGCCACAAGGAAGGGATGAGTCAACCAGGGTGCAGTATAGCACCAATGAGACACACTATTCCTCTGGTTCCTTGAGGCTTCCTCACCCACCTCTATCATGACCCAGTCCTGCCTTTCACTTCGGACTAGACTGGTGCAGGTACACTAGTACAGATAAGAGCTCATGACATGGAATCCAGGTCAGATCAACCCCTTGGGAGTAGAAATGGAAGCAGCGATATCAGGAGGGTAGAGGGAAAGTGGGGAGAGGAGGGGAGGAATAGGAACTGATCACATTGAAGGACACATCACCACCACCACGCCAGGGGGACGAGCAGTAGAAACCATGGGTAAGGGAGACAGTGGTCAGTGTTAAGATATGAAAATAAGAGTAATTTATAATTTATCAAGGGGTCACGAGGTTGGGAGAGGAAGAGGGAGGGGAAAAAGAGGGGTTGATACCAAAGGGCCAAATAGTAAATGTTTAGAAAATAATTATGGCAACATATGTATACATATGCTTGATACAATGGATGTATGGATTGTTCTAAGAGCTGTAATAGCCCCGAATAAAACGACCTTAATTAAAAATTTATACATACAGACAAATCTTAATCAAAAGGGAGAGAAAAGATTTCAAATTCTCATAGAATTGAACTTTTCTGGTACCATGGAGTCTGGGTGAACCCTGAAACAATTGCCCTAAGGTATTGTTTAAACCTTAAACCAAAAATATCCCTTGATGTCTTCTTAACCAAACAACAGTTTATCTTTACTAGTGAAGAACGTCTACTTTGAGCAGCATGCTCCTTTAAGATCTAGCTATATGAGATCAAATGGACAACAGCAGCGTGAAAGATTAGATGGGAATCGTAGGAGCCAGGGCATTTATGCTAATAGAGGAGGAGCAACTGAAAAACTTCGAAGATTGGTTATACAAATCAAAGAAGTCATAAATGTCACTGGATTGTACATGTGAAAACTTCAATTGTGTATATATTTTTGCTGTTTATAGTCTCAATAACAATTTTTAAACTAGAGTAGAAAATAGTTCATATGACCTTGATAAATCTGAACCTCAAGGATTATAAGCAAAAATTGGGATTTAAAATAGTAGTAAGCCATCTAAATCTCTGGATTTTTCATAGCCCAAATTTGAGTATACTCGTCTCAGGTTACTGGCTCACCGCTCAAATCCCTGCTTTGATTGCCTCCTCACACGGAGGGCCGTGGAGAAAGAGAACAGCCAAATAAATAAATGTACGCAGCAATAGTGACTATCTTGCTTTAAGTCCAAAAGAATGTCTAAAATAAAAACTTAAGACATAAGACATCTCAGGGATGCTTTTTTTAAAAAAAATCATCCATTTCTTTAGTACTGATGCTTTGGGAAGAAAGATCTAGTTAATTCAGCATGAATCAACTCATCAACTCATGACAGTAAAAGAAGACCACAGCGCTACATATGCAAAGAAAATGACAAGAAGATAAATGCACAGAAGGAAATCAAGAACAAATACAGGTTTTGTAGGGATGTTGCTCCGAGGCGTATGGTCGTTTCACTGAAGCAGGGAAGCAAGAGCAGCAGAGCGCAGGCGCGTGGGTCTGGCTGAGGCTTCTGAGGGAGAAGGTGTGATCAGTAGATGAGACATGGCGGCAAGAGGGCACATAGACCCAGCAAGAGGAAGAAAGAAGACGCTTGTAGAAGAATCTGGTAGAGCCACAGGGCGGGGAACCCCACAAAACTAGAGATGAAGGGAGACACAACAAACGGTTTACCTTGTGTCTGAGCAAGAAATAGCAAGAGCAACTTTCTGCTGTGCCGGATGGATCTGTTGTGATACTTGGATTTTTCCAAGGTCTCTCTAAAGCATTTCAAAGTGTCTTCCACGTCCACCGGCACGCTGGCGAGCTCTTTGGCATGGCTGTACTCTGAAAGGAGAGAGAAGGGAATGGTCAGAGGAAATACCGCACCGAGCTAAGGAGTCAAATCATTTCCAAATCAGAGGCGCTCTTGGCCCCAATGAAAGCTGCTCAATTCAAAGCCCCCAGATCTGCACCAGATGTTTCAACGTTTGGATCTTTTTTCTTTTGCTTTCTTTCTATTTTTTTCTTAGTACGGTTGAACGTTCTTTTTTATTATAAAAAAAATAATAACGCAACTTGAAAAACTTTTGCTTCCTATGAAATGCAAATCACTCCAGTGCTTGCCAGTTTTCGTGATGAAGCCTCCTCCATTTTCACATGCTGATCATAAAAGATGAAATAAGCTACTTCCTTCGGCAGCCTCTTCAAAGCAAGGGCACCTTGGGAAAGGGACGGAAGGTGGAAACGTCCGGCCCTTGAACAAGCCCCTCTGTAAGGCCATCTCACCAGGCTGTGAACACACCACCCTTCCTTTTGCTTCAGAGCAGAATCCTGACAGAAAGAGGCTGGTATTGTAGGAAGAGTGAGCCAACAGTTGTACAAGGACGCTTCAAAACATTGACGGACAACTGAAATGGACAGATAATAAAAACTTCTCATGAACTTTATGACACCCCAGGCACATGCCACAGGTTGCTAAGCAACAACAACACAGACACGATGTGCTTTGAACTCTGTCTAGGTGGTGGCAATGGAAGCCAAGCACAGAAGCCGCTCTGCTGCTAGAAATGACACGACGGTGGTTAACCAGCTATGTGGAGAAAACAAACGTGCCTCTTGCCTCACCCTTCTCTGTCCAAGGCCTGGATTTCTACCTCCTGAACGTTCAAACCCTCCATTGACTCCTCAGTCACCTAAAGAAAACATCCAAGTCCTTATAGGAACCTATAAGGCGCTCAATGAACTTGGCCCAAATATCATTGTGACCACTTCTCCTATGTCTTCCTCCTGTCCCCCGCCCCTACCCAGCCGGTTTCTAACCTCAGAGTCTCTCGTAACACTCTTCTTTCCGAAATCTCCATGTATTGTTCCCTCACCCCCTTGAGAATATGGCTCAAATGTTACTACTCGGTGAAGCTCCTTGGTCAACCTATTTAAAATTGTAACATGCCTCCTTCCCCACTTCTCTTGGCTCCATAGCACCTATCCTCATCTGGCAAGTTATGGCTTTTACTTATGTATTATGGACTGCCTCCCCCTACGAGAGTGCAAGGGCCATGAGGGAAGGAACTTTTGTCCACTGTGCTCACTGCTCTACAGGCAGAACCTCTAACAATGCCTACTACATGGTAGGTGCTCAAAAGCATGCGTACTGAATAGAGGAAGGACCACAGAGTTGCATGCACTTTAGTAATAACCACCGGTATGACTTGCAGCACTTTCCAAAGTAGTAGAGGCCAAAGGTACGCTCTCCAATGGAAGAAAAAGGAAACTGAGAGGTATTAGTTTTAGTCCTCTGCAAAAGATAAGATGGAGAGCCAGTGTTGAGATCTATCCCAAATGGTTCTCCAATGAGCTTCAGGTTTTAAAGTCGGCAGTGACCAAAGTTGATTTTAAAGTTGGCAGTAACCAAAGTTTGAGGTCTGTTGGGGCAAATAAGCTTTGAGAATGGGACAGGAATAGCCCAAGGAGAATGAATGAGGAAAGAAGCCTGGGATCCTTTGGAGCCTAGACGGCAGGGGGTCCAGAGTATCTTCTGTGCTTGGCTTCCATTGCCACTAATTAAACACTTTGATTCAGATTCACCTCCTTGTTACTAAGGCCACTGGTCCCATGTCACTCAGAAGGCCTACTCCAATATCTAGAAGTCAGAGTCACCTCCTTATCACACATTCTCAGAGAAGCAAATACTTAGACAACAGCAGATCTGCATACAACTTGGCAGAAGCTGCCATTCTTCCAACGTTCACCCTCCTGTGCAATCCATCCTCTCCTCCCCATCTTGCTTTCTCAAATCCCTTCTCCTCTAAGCAGTGCCCAGCCCTGTTTGATCCAAATAAGGCATGCCCCAAACTCCTCATGCCCCTAATGCTATCAAAATACCTTGAGGACTGTAGATTCCTGCTGTGTGTGTGTGTGTGTGTGTGTGTGTGTGTGTTTAGAGAATGAAATCAAGAAAAGCTGTCACGCAAGCAAAGAGAAAGAAGGAAGGCTTTCCTAATGTGATAAAGGCTTTAGTTCATGGGACAGTTAGTTACTTTCGGAGGGTCTTAGTTTTAAATGAAACCTTGGTGGTGCTATAGGTAGGCTGTTGGTCTGCTAACTACAAGGTTGGAGGCTCAAAACTACCAGCCACTCCTTGGGAGAAAGATGAGGCTTGTCTGCTCCTATAAAGCATGACAGCCTCTGAAACCTTACTCAGGATTGATAGTCACTTGAATCAACTCAATGGCAGTGAGTTTGGGTTTTGTTAGTTTTAAATATCTGTAAAATGTAAATGATAATATTGATTGAAAGAGTTATTGCTTTTGCATGGATCTAAAGTGTCTACATAGTGCTTGTCCCAGAGGGCACACTCAGGAGGTTGGGGCGCTCAGTGTACTTGCGTGCCATGTCTATTGAGAATACATACTGAGCACTTACCAGTACGAGGCACACACCAGCCCCAAGGAAATAAAACAGACCAAGACTTGCATGGCCCCTGTTTTCATAGGGTTTGCTTTCTAGAAGTTCACAAGGCATGACGCTGGTGAACAGAGGAAGGAAGAGGAGAAAGGAGACATTTTTCCAGCTTTAAAAGGCAGATTCTATAGTGAACCATGGGGGGAGTACGGAGTGGAGACCCAAAGCCACTGGAGATCCCCTTGCAGAGGGGTCTCGGGGAGGAGACAAGCCAGTCAGGGTGCGATGTAGCAATGATGAAAAATACAACTTTCCTCTAGTTCCTAAATGTTTCCTCTCCGCTCCCACTATCATGATCCGAATTCTACCTTGCAAGTCTGGCTGGACCAGAGGATGTACAGTGGTACAGATAGGAACTAGAAACACAGGGAATCCAGGGCGGATGATCCCTTAAGGACCAGTGGTGTGAGTGGCGATAATGAGGTGGGGTAGAGGGAGAGTGGGTTGGAAAGAGGGAACCGATTACAAGGATCTATAAGTGACCTCCTCCCTGGGGGACAGACAGCAGAAAAGTGGGTGAAGGGAGATGTCGGACAGGGCAAGATATGACAAAATAATAATTTATAAATTATCAAGGGATCATGAGGGAGGGGGGGAGGAAGGGGAAAAAATGAGGACCTGATGCCGGGGGCTTAAGTGGAGAGGAAATGTTTTGAGAATGATGAGGGCAATGAATGTATAAATGTGCTTTACACAATTGATGTGTGTATGGATTGTGATAAGAGTTGTATGAGCCCCTAATAAAATGATTAGGAAAAAAAAAAGGCAGATTCCCAAATGATATCACCCTGCTACTTCTCTTCAGACCCATACTACCAACTCATGCTATCCCTTCGCCCCCAAGTCCTGTTTCACATGTGCTTCTCACTTGCTTTGAGCTCTTCTTTCTTAAAGAAGGCTGCGCTTGAGGTTCTCCTCTCTCCACGTTGTGTTTTCACCTTTCTCTGACCCGTTTGTTGTGGCTACAGGAGATAAACGGTGCAATGCAATGAGGAGACCTCATCCTGACAGCCCTTCCTCTCTGAAAACGTCCATGGATCATTCAAGAAGCGATTCCAAAGGCACTAGTAGCCTCCCCAGTTGGAAACAGGTCAGTAAAAAAAAAATCATGATATAAAAAGAAAGAAAAAATTACAAGGTCTCTCATTGGACTGATGGGAACATGAAAGCTGAAATACTAGTGGCTCCTGAGAGATGACCCACCCAGGCCGGATTGTAGGAAGTGAATGGAAATCCAGGCTGCTTTTTTTGAACACTTGGTTACATCAATCCAAATGCCCACAGGCCCTCATGAAACACACATCTGCCAAAGGGTTGAGACTTCCCACTCACCTGAGGACTGAATCACCCTCTCTGGGCCCCTAAATACCGATGCAGTCAAAACTGAGGGAAAAGATCCCAGACAGAATGCAAAACAGCTACAATAACAGGCATATCCATGGCACCATCTCCCCTGAGGAGCTTAACAAGCAGGCAGGTTACTCAGCCATACAAGAATAATCTATAAAGTGAGGTATTCTCACTCCTCCCAATCCTACAGAGATGAGACCAAATTACACATGCATTATTAAATAGTTGAAAGGAGGCTAGGATGCTGTTAAATAATGAGAACGCCAAATGTTCCTAGGCACTGGAGCATTACAGTCTAGTTCTGAAGAATTAAATGTTATCAAGCATTACCACCAGGTGCTGTTATGCCAAGAGAAAATCGATGATGTTTTAAAGCAGCAGTCTAGTGTGGAGACCATCAAGAGTATACTTGGTCTTTTGAAAGAAAGTTGCAAACATCTCTGTGTCGTGGTGACATGCATAAGAGCCACCACGTCAATGAATCCTCCCAGAGGTACCTCAGAGGAAAGTCCTGGTGACCTACTTTTGAAAGGTCACAGCACTGAACATCATCGGGATACAGTTCTACTCTGACACACATGGAAAGGCCACACACAAGTCAGAAATGACTCGGGGCCAGCCAGTTTGGTATTTGTTCATTTGTTTCTTGTTGTTGTTGTTGGCGTCAAGTCAGTTCAGCATCACAGTGACACAACGTACAACAGAACGAACACTGTCAGGTCCTGTGCCATCCTCACAATGATTGCTATCTTTGAGCCCATTGCTGTAGCCACCGTGTCAATCCATCTCATCGAGGATCTTCCTCTTTATCGCTGCTCCTCTGCTTTAGCAAGCACGATCGATCTCCTTCTCCAGGGCTGGTCTCTTCTGATAGCGTGGCCAAAGTAACTGAGACGAGCTCTTGTCGTCCTTGCTTCTAAGGGGTACAGGGGCTGTACCTCTTCTTTGTTCTTTGGGCAGTCCATGGTATTTTCAATATTATTCACCAGCATCATAATTCAAATTCAGTTTTCATTATTCCATATCCAACTTTCACATACACATGAGGCCATTGAAAATACCATGGATTAGGTCAGGCATATCTTAGTTCTCAAAGTAACATCCTTTAGAGATGTCTCAGGCAGCAGATTTACCCAATGTAATGCTCGTTTGATGTTTTGATTGCTGCTTCCATGAGCATTAATTATGGATCCAAGCAAGACAAAATCCTTGACAACTTCAATTTTTCTGTTTATCATGATGTGACCTATTGGTCCAATTGTGAGGGTTTGTGTTTTAGACTCTGATGATACAGGCACTCGGAGTTTGCGGTGTATTTCATGGAGTATACTTTGTTAGTAAAGGAGGCACACCTATCATAAAAACTAAATTGGACAGTAGAAGAGACAGTGGCAAGTGCTTCAGAGGAGGGACAATGAACTGGTAAAGCACACTCCAGGGAAGTGGAAGGCAGTGGGCAGAGCACAATTTTAAATAGATTGGTCAGGTTAGGCCTAACTGGAGAGAAAACCCAGGAAATGAGCAGTGTGCCGGGCAGGTAACTGGGGGCAGGGGTACTTCAGACGGCTAAAGCAAAAAGGCAAGTGGCATCATTGTCAGTTACCATGTTGCCAGCTCTGTTTCCTGCTCTCTGATTCATGGCGGCTTTCTTCTCCGTAAACCTCTCTCCTACCTTGGCTTCTGTTCTACCACTCATCTGTCATACCTCTCTGCTCTGTAGACCATGCCCCAAGCTCCAGCACAGGTTTCTCCCACTCCGTGTGCTCCTGTGACTGGCACTGGGGCTATTTCTCTTTATCCTGGGTGCTTGACCTTATCCTTTTGTGTTTGACCAATAAGATGCAAACAGCACAATGTGCGTACCTTCCAAGAAGCAGCTTTAAGAGCCAGGGCATTGTTTGTCACCTCCTCTTATGCTGGCTTGAAAATAATAAACCACTTGCTGGTTGGTTGGAAGGTAACATTCACAAAGCCTTTTTAAGCCTGGTGAATGAATGACACAGAATACTAATTCTTGTATTGTGATTAAGTGAGAGCATGCATGTCAAGCCCTTGCCATCAATCATATACCATGCACTTTCTGAAGTCCCCTCGAGTGTGTGCCCATTATTTATGTGGGTACCCCATTGGTGGGAAAATATGGCTGTATCGCCCATGAGGTGTGCCTTCTAAGGTTATGCTCTTGGTTCTGTTATGCAGTGATCAGTATCACGTTTCTTATGGCGCAATATTTGTGTCCTGTTTCCTGCCTTGACAATCATGAAACATGTGTTGAGGTGAGATTTCACGGTGGGAATCTATCAACCTATGTGACCAGAGGTGTTGCTGTCAACCTCGCTTATTAAGATAAAGAAATAGACTTTCCTGTGTGTTGACGCGGAGATTATCTAGTTGTTTGTTACTATTGTACAACTCTGCCGACTCTGACTGCCAGCTTAATGTTGGCACTGCCCAAGAGATCATCCTCAGATCTACGCTCCAGATAACTCTGCCTGCCTTACCACATACCAACTCCTAACTTTCACGGCCACCGACGTATTGATGACTAAAAACAGCTTTCTCCAACCCAACACTCTGGGCAGCTATAGACTGCCAAGGAGAGAGAGTACCTAGTCTGTACTGTGGTGCAGCTGGCTAGCCTCCACAGTGGTCACCTGAGCACCTCTGGCATTCCACAACATCCTTCCCTTCTTCCGTTCTCCTGTCCGAGTGAAAGTCTCAGAGATCTGTCTAGCTTGTCAGGTCCAGAACCGAGCACTGTAACGTCTCAAGAGCTCAGAGTGCAGCCCTGTGGGTGTCCGCTGCCTTTCATGGTCCATTGTTCTTCTCTCGCTGCCTCCTTCTAAGCCTTCTTCGTGTGCAACACACAGCAGCAGCGGCTGCCCTCTGCTTCCAGGGTTCTCCTCCCACGGCTGCTGAAGGGTCCAAGCCACAAGCAAGGTCATTACCCCTTTCTCCTTGAGCTCTTTCACTAGTTCCACCGACACGGGAGAAAGGCTAGCATGGCTACTCCCGTCAGAGTCCCAGTCTCAGAAACCCACAGGGGCAGCGCTACCCTGTCTCTCTGGGTCACTGGAAGTCGGAATTGATGCGGTGGCGCCCAGACTGGATGCCTCTCAGCAATCCCTGTGAAGCTGGATCCCTTTGTCCCGCCCTTCAAGATTCCGTGCTATCTTCGGTCCTGCCCTTCAAGATTCCGTACTATCTCACTCCTGCCAATCTTCCTAACCTTGGCTTTTGCCTTTTCCTTTCCTTGCAAGCAGATTACAGCTATTACATATTATTCCTGATGGTGGCACCGACAACAGGAGTGAGGTCACAGTTTGTGTCACCCTTTACGTTAATCTCTGCTTTGTTTTTTGGTCTCCTTCAGCGGACTGGGTGGCAAATACTAAGTCTCCGTCATCTTTGTACTTGCAGGACCCAGTATAACCCTTACTACACAGAAGACAGTCAGCAAATGCTTGCTGAATGACTAGTGGGTTGGTTGAATAAATGAATGAGTAAATACACATAAATGTGGGGAACAGAACTGGGAAGAGTGCATGCGGGCCATTTTTCTATGTTCATACGTACGTCATGGAGTCTTGGAGGCTGGGGCGCCCATGGAGGGAAACCTTCACGTTCATAGGTTGGAGATGCGTTCCAGTCACATTCTCCATGATGTCCCCCATAACAACACCAATCTTAAGGTGCTTGAAAGCACACTGTTGCTACTATATAATACACTTGAAGGTAAACGGCCAGAAGGCTACTTGCCTGATGGTTGTCTGCCATTGAGAGGAATCAGACCCTATTGTCTGTCCCACCAGTAGGGCCCACTCCCTTCTGGTAAGGATCACAGATTGTTCCCCTGGAGAAGAGCTTCGAGGCGACCAAGCTTCAGCTGCCATCTTGACTCTAGACTCTGCCCATCTTGCTACGGGTGTCACATCCTGTCACATGTATGCCTCCAGTACTTTCCCTTTCAATTGCATGCATACCCCTAGCTTGTCCCCATCATGTTATGTGTATCCCTCTAAGACAGCCCCTTCCTGTTATGTATGTGCTTACCGTGGCTTGCATGCCTGAGGTTATAGAAGCTCATGAGATAATACATGCCTCCCTCATTCTGGTTCTGGTCACCATGGAAGAGGTGAGCCCTTGCATGCCTTGTCTCACATCTCTTTAATTTACCTCTCAATCACACAACCTCCCCTTTGGACTCATTTGGTTGTGGGAAGGCTGGTCCCTCACATATAAACATACAAGACAGACATAAAAATAAAGTGAAGTTAAATAGATGAAAGAATTCTAGCAGTTAATAAAAAAGAATTCTAGCAGTTCAAGGGGAAGACTTGAAATGTCTATGCCAGAAACGGAGACAAACACAAAGTGTAATTCACAGCAGGCATCGTTTTCATTTTCATCTCATTCTATTGCCTGTTTCCTGCGAGCTGCACTGCCAAAAGCATCCCAGGATGGCTTATCCCTACAAGCAACGAAGTCAGTTATGATGTGCCCCAAATTTCTCCTGCACTCTATTTCAAAGACCACCTATACCACCATGGAAAAAAGAATGGGAGTTTGTATGAGCGTAAAGTGGAGAAGTGAATTTTAAAAAGATATCAATCTGAAGGTTTTGCATGTGAAATAAAAAATAAAACAGCACGAAGAGAAAAGTGTGCAGCCTTCTCCCATCTTTATTTTTACCATTAATTCCTTGTCATTTTTCTTTTTGCTTCCCTTCTTTAAGTTGTAAATTAACAAAATGAGTTTCATCCCTTTTAAGGGAGATCTACAGCAATCTAAGATGGCAATGTCAATAACATATTTCACAAAGACAACGTTCTACTTATTTTAAAGAGTAACGTCTCTCCAAAACCAAACTCGGTGCCATCGAGTCGGTGCTGCCTCAGGTTTCCTCGACAGTAATTGTGCACGGAAGTAGAAAGCCCAGCCTTTCTCCCACGGAGCTGCTGGTGGTGTCCAAGCACGTGGCTCACAGCCCACGCATGACCACTACACCACAAGGCTCCCATGAGTAATGTCTAGTCTATAAAGTACACCTATTGCTCTCTCGCCATTCAGAAGAAGATGGATGAAAATCAAAAGACAAATGCAAACAATTAGTAATGAACCAATGGATCACACAAGCCTCAGTCTCCATAACCCTGAGACCAGAAAAACTAGATGCTACCCAGCTGCCCCAGCCAACTGCTAGAAGGTCCTAGAAAGAGGGAGAGAAAATATGGAACAGAACTCAAAACCATAAGGGAGACCAGTTGAATCAAGACTGGAAGTAACCACAAGACTGTGGACCTTAGTCACCTTTGAGGTCTGTAAGTGAGCTCACTCCCACGCTAGAATAATCAGCTATTAAAGCTCATATTGGCAACATGATCCCAGGGCCACATCCTCACGGTTAGGAAAGGAGAATTGAAAACTGGAAACAAGCAGGGAAGTAGGAAGGGGATGGTACATTCAGGAGATTGCAATGATGGGTTGAAACAAAATGTGTATGAACTGCCCCATGTAAAACTATGGTCTCCTCTGTAAACCATCACCTAATCCACACTAAAAAGCGTGGGTTTTGTTGTTGTTTTTCAAGATGATCATGTCACCTGGATTATTTACAGTAAAATAAATCTGCAAAATAAATTTTACAAACATTCCATTATGAACAACTTGACATTCAGAACACAATGGCAAACCCTACTTTAAAGAATATAAAAAGGGCTTCAAGCTAATGCTGGTTCTTACCTAAGCTGATAAGCTTTCTTAGTACATCTACCCAGCTTCCTGCAGATAGCTCCATATTGCGTGGTGGATTAATCTTGAGCTGTTTCCCAAGGAAATTTCGGCAGGTTATCTTAAAGAAGAAGGATGAAAACAAACATTACTTAGTCAAGGACGTAGAGCTAAAAATATGGTTTGAAATGTTTGTCTCATTTTACCTTTGTCAAAATAAAGAGACACAAAATGATGTTACCAACAAAATCTGACAAATAGCATTCAATCATATACAACTTTCTGGGGAAAATGATCTACATATTTTTTCATATTTCTTTTGTACACCACAGCTGAAAGAGCATTAGGCAAATTATGTAGCGCAATTAAGACAAAATTTTCCAATATTCTATAAATTCACATCTAAATATATCTTACATTATCTAAATTGAAAACAGTTTAAAATATAAGCTGTTTTTCCAATGAAAGATTTTACCACCCTACTCATGATTAGTGCAATTTAAACTTCCCTGGTGAAGTTTTACAGAGCTAATTTCTTCTACAGAATTCTGTCCATTTCTTCTCTAAAGGACAGTTGAAGGCTAAAATGATAAAATATCTGAAAACAGAAATATTTTAGAGAAAAAGAAATTATTTTAAGAGGCTCAAGATTTCTCTTCTTTCCCCTTCCCCATTCCATCCTTGGACCAACCTGTCACCCCAAGGTCAGTCCTCCTTGAGCCACAGACTGATTTACCTGCTTCTTCTCTAGTATCCTTCGCGGACACTTCTTTAATAAGATACAAACGAAGTCTGATGGGTCTAGCAGAGCCCTACATAATCTGTTCCCTCCAGCTTAACTGGTTAAGAATAAATGTAAAACCTCTTTATTGAATGAACACCAACTTTGTGCCAGACACTGTTTCAAGTTCCAGGAGTGATATAGCAGAGAGCAAAGGAAACGGAATTCCCTATTCTAAGAGCGCTTACATCCCTGTGGGAGGAGAGAGCTAATATATAAAATAGACAAAGTACATTATGTAGGATGAGGATACGAACAGTTTCAAATACTATAGTCCTAAAGAGGCACATGGTTGTAAAAAGAGTTGTTAGGGAAGACTCACAGTGAAGGTGGCATTTGGCCAAGACTAGGAAAAGGTGAGAGGAAACATCAACTTGGATACTTGATGCTGGAGGGGCAGTGCAAGCAAACAGCCTGGAGTGGAAACATCTTGGAAAACCCTCAGGGTGACGCTGAGATGGAGCAATAGGAGAAGACTCGCTAAGGCAGGCCATACCGGGCTCGAGTGGTGATCCATGCGAGGAATAGTCATTTTAACTCTGGACCAGATGGAGCCTCAACGCCGTGCTTTAATCACAAGAGTGACATAGACTAACTTGGATTTTTAAAGGGTCCTCCTTTCGGTAGTGTTCAAAGTAGAACAGCAGAGAGAGATGGAGGAAGGCTGGAAACAGAAGGCTAAGTAGGAGACGACTACACCACCACAAGCAGTTCTCACCATTGCGTGGATCAGAAAAGTGGCCTTTGGTTTGCATTCTTGGGGATCCCGGCTGAGTTCGAGTTGAACTGGCCTTTCAATGGCTGGGTTTTGTCAGACGCTTCCCGCCAGAACATTCTTCGGAGGCACCTCTTGAGAGACTTCAACCTCCAACCTTTATGCTAGCAGTCGAGCACCTCAACTGCTTGTGCCACCCAGGGAATGGTTACATTTTGAAGGGGTCCCGGCCACAGGATTTGGGGACCAAACTGGCACAGAGTGTGAAGGCAAGAGAGGAGACCAGGAGGGTCTGCGCAGCGGGGAGGACAGAGCCCTCTACCCTCGGGGTGGGGAAGAGTGTGGCTGACCCAGGTGTGTTTAAGGTGTACTGGGGGGGGTGGGGGGGGTGGTGCAGAGTCACCATTTGGTTACGAGGAAGACTGAAGGCTGGCAGAGCCATTGTGTGTCACCAACACGCCTTCTCCCAGTGACTCAATCAATCACTCACCTGGAAACGTTGATTTCCATACCCTCCTTCATAAAAAAAGTTAAAAATCACATTTTGTGATTGTCTTGTTAGAATACAGGAGATAGGCGAGGGCTTCAAAAAGTGCAGGGGGCAGGGATTCCATTATCTTTGCATGTCATTTTTCCACAAACTCTGGAGCCCCTTCATCTTAGGATATGCTTGTAACATATGATTGCGCTGTGTGATTATTCTATGAAATATAGAACACCTAGACTGATGCTCCAAGGAGCCCCGGGAGTTCAATGGTTAAGTGCTCTGTCACACTGCTGTGTGTCAGAGTCCACGGGGCAGCGCACCCCCACCACAACGCGCCACGCCCATCACCTCTCTGTCATAATCTTTGACCTACAGGTTCTTACTTCGGACCTGAAAATGCTTACTTCCGACTTTAAGAGAGATGAAAAGATTCTCATGAGTCCCCAAAAGTATTGTGGACACCAGGCACTCTCCTCAGTGTCCCCGATGTAGAAATCAGACCCGAGGCCTTACTCTTATTTATTCTGTACTTGGAAAACACTAACTCTCAATAATGTTTGCTTAGATGCATGACAAATGCCCAAGGGGAAATAACATGTATCTCAGTGATCTGACTCATAATGTTTGTACTCTGAAGCACCCACTACTGCATGGATAAGGAGAGTAAAAAACATACCTTCTCCCTGTTATCAGCCTCATACCTTCCACAAGGCTGTTGGGAAACATCTGGGCCATTGAGCATCTGTATTCTGAGATGAAGCTGCCGCTGAGCAAGCACCAGTAGAGGCGTCACTTGCTCTGTGTACCTCTCACTAGACAGGGGTAAAGAAGATATTCAAAAGCAAATATTAACTTAAAACACATGTTTGTCTTTTTCATGACAACTTGTTTGTTAAGCACCAGCACTCACTGTGAAACCTGGTTGAACTGAATGGCCAGAGACACTATTGCTTCCCACTTCTCCACTTGATATAAGAGTTCCAGGGCCTTTAACACAAAGTTATGGATCCATTTCAAATCAACTACATTCACATCATCTAAAGGATGTTCAAAGTGAAAGCTGGAACCACCGTTGTCATTTTTAATATTTCCATAACAGCTTGCAACATCGAACTCTCCTTTGTCTTCAATAATCTGAAAACAAATATTGAACAAAGACTTCTATACTTTCATATTTTACCACTTTTCTTTTTTTTTTTTTGTAATGCTGTGTGATAAAATTGCGACATGCAGAGAAACAGAAAACAAGGGGGAAAGTTTGAATGTTTTTTAGTACACAACTCACGCTTAACCATTGAGGCAGTTTGGTGAGATGAAATTTCGGAGCTGATAGAAATGAGCTATCTCTGTGTTGTCCAATACGGTCACCCGTAGCTACATGTGCCTCCTGAGCCCTTGAAATATGGTTTGTGCAACTGAGTTTATTTAATCTTAAAATATAAATGTAAATAGCCACATAATAGACAGTTGGGATTTTAGACAGCACAGACTAAAGTCTGATCCTAATTGGTGCACAGTCAATACGTAGTTACATAGAAGTATTTAGATAAAATTATAAGGAAAAACCAGGTTTTAATTTACAAAGGACAGCATACCTGGTAAAGTAGAAGGGCATCAAAACAAAACAAAAAAGCCCCTCAATGGGATGGATTGGCATAGTGATTGCAGCAGTGGGGTCAAACATATGAACAATCGTGAGGATGGTGCAGGATTTGACGGTGCTTCATTCTTTTGTACATAGAGTTGCTAAGGTCTGCAGTAGTCGACTCAGTCGTACCTAATAACAGTGACCTCACAATGGGCAAGGTTTCATTTCTATCCATACCCTCTCTCACTACTGGATTTACTTCCAATCCGGACACCATCTTAATTGATCTTTCGGCATTTCAGTATGTGTCTCTTCAGTGCAGTGAATTGTTTAATGTATTCCTTCTAGGCATCATCTTTGAAACTTTTACCAAATGACTGAGTAGGATGAATCAAATGCAAGGGGCTTGGGGCCACCAACACCACTGGATAGCCGCTAGCACTGTAAGGAAAATAGATGGCTGGCACCCTTGTGGCGGGGGAACCATGTATATAAGGTATATAGAAACCTAGTGTGGGGATTGGTCAGTTTTCCCATTCTGTCAGGCATCTGAAAGGTGGGAAGGGGAGTCTCATGACCACCAACCATTAAAAAGGAGAGCCAAGAATGGAGTATATTCTGTGGACCAAATAACTCTGTACTGAGAATCTCTGCCATCCAGGAGACAGGGTGGTGACATCAGAGGTTGAGATAGACAAGGAGAAGCAGCAGAAGAGGCTGGCACATGATTGAGCATTATGGAGCCTGGCCCACAGAACAAGAAAGCTGAGTGCCTCTGAGCAGAGGCTCAGTGGTGGAGTGGAATGGCTCTGGGAATTTAGCTGACAGAACTAAAAGAGCTTTGGACATTTACTGGATCAGGGCAGAGGCCAGGCAGAGGAGCCGAGGGCTAGAGGGGAGGGCATGCCTAGTAGGATGCCTGTTTGATGAGGATGACTGTCCTGACCAAAGGATGGTCTCAAGAGTCTTTCTTGGTCCTTAACCGTAACCATTTCCATCCATGCTAAAGCCCATGATCACAAGCATTGTCTGAGTTCTATGTGGACTTTGAATTACGAATTATCAAACCCAGCAGAGAAGTAGAGAGTAAC